AATAGCAGCTATGCCTATCTACTCAGGAAATTTTGCGAATTCTTTTGATTTTTTAAATGTAAAAAATTGAAAAGAAATATAAAAGTAACTATAACTAGAACTACATTAAATAAACTAAAATCTATAGGTAAAAAAAAAAAAGAAGAGAGGAAGGTATATATATATTAAAAAAGATTTATAGAAGAGAAAGAAAAAAAAAAAAAAGGAGAGAGGAAAGATAATAGAAAAAAAAATAATATTAGGGAAAGAGAAAAAGTGAAGAAAAAGAAAACAACTTAAAAATTTCCTTAAAAGAAAATTTTCAAGCATAGGAGAGAGAGTGGAAAAAAGTTTTTTTCTTTAAAATTTTTATCTAGTCTTATTATTAACAAATAAATAACATCAGATTTGATAATAATAATAATGCTAATTTTTAAAGGTATAAATTATTTGTTCTTTTTTATAAGACCATAAAAAAGAGAAAAATTTTGAAACCTATATTTTGAAAAAAGCTATTAATTCTTGATATAATTCTTAAGAAAAAAGAATTAATTGGTTAGGAGATTAATGTTATAAAAAATTAAGTTTATAAAAGCTCAAAAGATCTAAAAAGAAAATCTAATTTTAATAAAGAAAAAGATGAAAAAAATAAATAAATAAATATAAAATATATAAATAAATATATAAAAGAAAAAGAAAATAATAAGAAGAGGAGAATAAAAAAAAATAAAAGAAAGAAGATAAGAGAAAAAAAAAATAACAAAAAAAAAATAAACAACTTAAAAATTTTCTAAAAAAAAAAATTTCAAGTATCAAAAAAAAAATAAAAAAAAAGTATATATATATATATATATATATTATTTTTATTTTTTATTTATTTTATTATTTTTAATAAATAAATATTTTTAAATATATAAAATAAATTAGATAATTTAAATAATTTAAATTATTTGATCAATTTGCTATAATATTATATTAAATTTTAGTAGGTCTTTTAATTTAATTATATAAATAAACTTAAACATATTAATTTTTTTTAATTAATAACTTGATATTTTATTAATTATTAATATATAATTATAAAAATTTCAAGAATAAGTTTTTGCTTTTTTTAAAATATTAAAAATATTTATTACTTATTAACTTATAATAAAAATTATTATTAAATTAATAGATAATCTTATATGAATTTTAAATTTTTTTAAAATTAATAACTTAGATACTAATAAAAAGAATTTTAATTACAATATAAAAAACTAATAATTAATACAATTAATATACAGTATATAATATAATATAAATCAAATTTGAATTATATTTTAACAAAACTTATTCAAATTAAATTTTATTTTAATTATAGGTTTGACTTAACTTTAAATATTAAAATAAAAAGATTATAACATGAATATTTTGATAATAATAATATTTTTATATTTTATCAATAATAATAGTATTGTTTTTATTAATTGTTATTTAATAAAATTTAAAGATAATAAAATTGTTGAGAAAATTATATTATAAAAAGATGTTATATTGTAATGAATTTGACTATGGATTCAAAATACTGGATCCTATATACAATTAATTACTACCATAAATCACTGTATACAATATCTCCTCCTGAATAGTAGCACCTTTCTGGTTTTTTAAATAGTACTTTTCTTTTTCTTTCTAAGTAATTTTTCTGGTGAAATGATTAATACCCAGGGTATTGTACGCAATGGTTTACAGTAGTTATTAAAATATAATAATTATTCAATTATCTCAAAAATTTATAAATTTTGGTAACATATACTGTATGTGTTCAAAGAAAATTTTTGAAGAATCAAAAAGCTTAATTATTATTTAATAGGTTATTAATCTTTCTTAGGTATTTATTTAATTGTATACTCCAGGCGTTATCCGCATTATCACGTGACTATATTTTCCCTATAAATAGAGGTGGATACTTTCCAATATCTTCGTGTTAATATTATGGATCCAAATCAACCAACAAAACCAGTCACCGATGAATCGGTTGTTTTACAATATCTGGCCCAAATGGGTTATAAACAAACTGAATTGATGTTTCGGCAAGAGGCTGCGAGAGTCCAATCTAACGAACAAATTATTTCTGACTTTTCAACGCCTTACCTTTCTCTGAGTCATAGGAGCATTAGTCCAGAGGAATACAAGCAAAGCTACTTGAATTTAAAGAAATCGGTTGAACAATCTATGGACAAGTTTAAGGTACTTTAACGAAATAACAAAATCAAATGGCTGCGTCTTTAATAATAATTTCTTTTAATTCGTAGGGCGAATTGCAAGCAGTTTTATATCCGATATTTGTACACGTATATCTTGAACAGATTTCAAAGAGTATGCTCGAACAAGGTAAATGATTGTAATTTTAACTTTCCACCCTTTTTTTTATATCAAAGACCATCATTCAACGATATTCCCTTTCAATTAGCAACCGAGTTTTTCAATGAGTATCAGTCGGATCACATTACCTATGACAGAGAGCTAAAGGCTTTACGTGTGATAACACAGCCGCATCACGTACAAGAGAACGAGCTTGCGCAAAAATTTCGAACAAAAAAGTTTACTGTGCGAATGACAATAACTTCATATCAAATATTGATTGATCATTTGCAGGATGACAGCCTTCTCTTAAGAATTGTAAATCGACATCTTAACATTGAATGTATATATTCATAATTTTGTTTTCTCGTTGAGGAGCCCATAATGCATATTCTTTTTAATTTATGTACTTATACAAACATAAATATTAGCTCAACAAGGAACCATAGGTGGTGGTTCGTCCCACACAGATATTGGGATTCCTAGTTATTCGTCACAAGAACTTGAAGAATTTAACAGACAGGAAGTTCAGTTGGGTCATTTACCAATGGACCCGGCTTTACGCGATGAGGTCAAGAAGACGTTAACTGAAGAAGACAATTATCGCAAAGCAATTATGGAAGCCGAATATAATGCAGAATCAGACGGGCAACAGGTAAAAATTGATGTATATTGATCACCATATAGCAAAATAAATCCAATCTACCATTCATTTATTATTATAGATTAATGGTGTTCCAGACCAATATTCTTCGCTCCAACAAGAGTTTGTTGAAAAAATCAGGAAGGAACAAAGCTCTGATGCACCTGATAGAGCTTCTATACCTCTGCCGTCATAGTATGTTATTGATAATTTTGATTACAGTGAAACCTATCATAACGTAAATAATGGATTTATGTATTCTGACGAGAGAAATTCAGCAAGGGAGCTGACGTGCATTCACAAGTCGAATTGGTTAAAGACATGACACAGCGAATAAAATTGGGACCCTCCGTACTACCATCAGTCTGTTTTTATACTTTTCATAATACAAACGATAGGTTGGTCTCCTTAATTTTTAATACCATCAAAAGTCGATTGATAATGTGTTTACTATATTCTTCATTTTAGCTTAAATTGTTTGTCCATCTCCGAAGATTCTTCTCTTATTGCGGGAGGTTTCTCGGATTCGTATATAAAGATTTGGAGTTTGAAGGGTGAAAAGCTTAGAGGGTTTAAGAGTCAGCTTAGGACGGCGGAAATTAATTCGGGTAAAGGGATATAAAAAAAAAAAGTTTTTCAACGGATTTTGAGTTAGGACAAAGAATTGATTGTGAATTTATCTTCAAGTATATGACTTGGAAAATGTGAGAGAAGAGAGTGGTAGCGATTATAAAAAACTCTTAGGGCATTCAGGTCCCGTTTTAGGTTTAAGTTTTAGCCCAGATAAAAGGTATCTAATTTCTTGCTCAGAAGATAGAACAGGTGAGCTTGGTCAAATTTCCATATTTCTCTCATTAATGTGGATACGCGTAAACATGAAGGCTTCAAACTAATAATTTTCCCCTACAATAATCAAAGCAAGGCTATGGAGTACGGATACCTACACTAATCTTGTAAGCTATAAGGGACATAATTCTCCAGTTTGGGACGTAAACTTTAGTCCAGTAGGTTTTTATTTCGCAACAGCTGGACACGATAGGACTGCTAGATTATGGAGTTGCGATCATATTTATCCATTGAGAATTTTTGTCGGACATATGTCAGACGTGGACGTATGTAATTCAAAATCTTTGTTTTTACGCTGATGAATATTTGTTAGGTGGACTCATGAGAAAAAATGTACGCGAAAAGTGCATCAGGTTCCACCCCAATTCTAAATACATTATCACTGGATCCAGTGACAAGTCTGTTCGCATGTGGGATGTCCAACGTGGATCGTGTTTTCGAATATTCTCGGGTCATACTAGAGGTATTCATTGTTTGGCTATATCGTCTGATGGGCGTTTACTGGCTTCTGGCGGTAGGTAAATTCTAATTGTGATTAAAGATTTAAAAATTTCGTTACTTATCAAAACTTTGCGATTTAGGTGAGGATAAGTCAATAATCATATGGGACCTAGGAACCGGAAAGCAACTTAAAAAAATGACAGGTCACACAGATATCATTTATTCATTGGATTTTAGTAAAGAGGATAACATTCTTGTGTCCGGAAGTGCTGATAATACCGTTCGCATGTGGGACGTTAAGAAAGGTATTTCAAACGGTTCAAATGAAGATGATCAATTGTCATTAATAGACAAACAGAAAACCCAAGAAAATGGTGACATCAATTATTCGTTCATGAAGTCGGACACTTCATCAGTAGTTGCATCTCAGTAGGTGTATTTTTAATCTCATGGTACGCTAACATTACCTAATTTTACTCACAGAATTTTTTATTTCAGAGATCTCTTGACGGTATTACCAACGAAGAAAACACCAGTTTATAAAATACATTTCACGGGAAGAAACCTATGTCTCGCTGCAGGTGCTTACTCAGCCAGCGAAGAAGAGAAACTTGATTGGGAACAAAAAATTAAGTCTGAACAAAAAAAGGATCAAGATTAACAGTTCACGAATCCTACGTGAATAGATAGATTGATTATATATACACATATTAAAGCTACATATGTTTTTAAATATTGATTGCTCACACCATTTATGCACTGTATTCTATTTCTATTTCTATTTTTTGTAATTAGTAAATTTCATTTCTTTGGCTAATCTCGGGTAATTGTTTCTAACCCATTCGATAACTTGATATTCATCCCTGCTTTTGCCTGGAATGTCATGTAAAAAGTTCAATAGTGGTCTTATTGTATTCGCCTCTGGAGTAAATCCCTCGGCTACCAATTCATTAAATAGAATATATTTAGCTTCATCAAAAAGTTGATTACGAGCTAAGGCTTCGATGAGCGAATGATAATTGCCGAGTGTCAAGGGAAACTTTTTGGCCCGAAGGTCATTCCAAATCTGAACAAGTCTACGAATTTCTCGACCGTAACCGCAAGAGTCAATAACTATTGAAACTGTGGTGTCATTAATAGGTTGTTCGCTGGCTATCAGTAAATCCCAGATTGTCAAAACTTGAAGTACATAGCCACATCGGTTATAGGCATCCATTAAAGCATTATAAATTCCCATATCCAAATCGACATTGAGGTCCATTTTGACTATGCTATGTATATTCTTTACTCCCTCATAATCATATTGTTGACCCAGCCCATTAATAAGAACGGTGTAAGTCTTGACATTAGGTCGCACTTCGGATCTTAGCATATCGGAAAATAACCTCTGTGCTTCAGCAATTCTCCTCATTTTAACGAAAGAATCCAACAATGTGGTGTATCCTTGAACATCTAAATTTACTCCTGTTTGTTTGACTTCATAATAAAATTGCATCGCATCGTCTTCTCTGCCAGATACGATCATGGTCTTCGTCAAATTAGTGAATGAAATAACGTTTAACGTTCTTCCTTGCTTCTTAAGGATATTATAAACCTCTATTGCACCATCGATGTCCAACTCCTCAACGTGAATACTAATAAGGGCATTGTACACATTGTCATCAATTGCTAAATTGCGATCGACCAATTCTTGTAAAAATCCTCGGGTCAAATTTAGATTGTCTCGAAATCTGTGGAAGAAGTTTTTAAATGTTCGAAAATTTTGTTCATTGGAACTTTCGTTAACCATCAAACGTTGAAATAACTCCACCGCTTTATCCGTATCTCCCGACTTTATCATTTCCGTTAGAATTTTACTGTGAACCGTGGAGCTCGGTTCTACTCCATCATCTAGCATTTTCCGAAAGCGCTCCATAACTTTTTCCATGTTCCCCTCCTCAAGTAATAAATTAGAAACTGCTTTGTCGGCTTTTATGTTGTTGCTCGCCAATTCATCATGAAATTCGGTCGATTCCTTCGAATCTCTTTCCGATCGACGTTTCATCATTTTTAGCTTATCATATATTTTAGTGTCTTTGCTATTTATAATCTCTCGACGAAGTTCTTCGGCTTTTTCAATATTGCCGATATTAATGTAACTATTTAGCAAGACGTCAAATGTTGTCGCGTCGGGCAACATTCCAATTTCAATCATCTCGCGATAAAGTTCTCCAGCATTTTCTACATCACCTTTTTTACAATATAAATCAATTAATGAACTATATGTCGTGGAATTAGGCTTAACTCCATTTTCCTGCATCTCACGAAATACTAGTAAGGCACCATCCAGATCCGATGATTGTCTGAACGCTTCGATCAATGCGCTATAGGTAACGTCAGAACGCGCTATACCATTGTCCTTCATAGTGTCCAGTATCTTCCGTGAATCCAACAATCTTCCATGTAATCCATTAGCATATATAAGCGCGTGATATTCTCGCTGTCCTGGTCGTAAGCCTAATTTTTGCATGTCTTCTAACATGCGATTTAAGAGAGTCAAAACTCCATCAGAGTTTGACTTTTGTAGTATGGATATGGTTTCACTATAATCTTCGAGTGTCAAGTGTATCCTATCCTCTGAATCATACAATTCTTGATAAGAGCAGGTAATTCCTTTGACGCCTCCTTCCTTAATCGATTTACGGAAATTTTCGTAAAATTGCTTCGACGAATCTTTTGCAACATAAAATCGATTTTCCGGAATCAGTTCCGCAGAAATATGGGCATTATTTTTAGAATCGGTTGCATAGTTGCAACAAAACGCGCTTCCAAAACCCCTCTTGCACACCGTGGACGTTATCGAAAAGTTAGGGAAGGACGGGTGGGCTTCGAAAGTCGAAAGTAGAATCGAAAACTCGGTAGATTTTACGAATTTTCGATTTCTTTTTTGATGGAACAACAAATTGTTTAAGACAACTGTTCTCTTAGGTATTATCAAGGAAACATTTTTATAAACAAGCATTTTCGGACTAATCAGAAGACATGCTTTGTACATACATATACATACAGTATTTGTATTTTATATTTTATCCACCCAATCAATCAATTCATCGATGTACACTGGCAACACGTATGCGACGTGCAAACACGTTTTTTAATCTTAACTATGTGTTCCGAAAAGAAGGAATCGTCGAACTTTGGTCTATTAGATATTGTAAAACAATGTGATAATTTCCCTTATCCGGAGGAAACCGTCGAAATTCAAAAATTTAACACCACACCACTTATACTTAATGATACCAAAATTGGACTTCTACTTCCTTCCGTAATTCAAGCTTTGCGAAGCTACAATGAAAAGCACGAGAGCCCCAGTCCTTTCGTCATTAAAGAAGATTTAGTCACATTTTCTCCACATGTCAACACGTTCGAGAAACGTACAAAAGCTATTGAACAACTGCTCAACAGCTGGAGGACAGAGAAAACTTTTTCGGCTTTGAAAGGTATGCATGGAGACATACAGTAAAACTTACGTTCACACAACTGATCCAACAAAATTCATTTTTTTTGAAAGGTTGGCGTGACGAGCTGTACCCAGTTTATGGAGATCCAAGTGGTCCATCCAATATGGCTTTCGTCATAGAGCGCGCAGCAACTCCACTTTTTGGAGTATTAACTTTTGGCGTTCATTTAACCGGTTTTGTTAAAACGAAAGGTCATTATAGGATTTGGGTTGCCAAACGTTCAAAGACGAAACCGACTTGGCCAGGTTATTTGGACAATACTGTTGCCGGAGGGATACCATATAACTTATCTATAACTGAATCCATCATAAAGGAAGCCATGGAAGAAGCTAACTTGCCAAGAGAAATAGCGAAGGATTCTGTTCCCGCAGGTGCCATTACATACTTTACAGTGACAGAGCGTGGGCTGCAACCGGAAGCACAGTATGTTATCTTGACGAATGATGTAGTGAGCCGACGGTCGTTGTTTCTTAAACAATATTTCTATTGATTGGGTAGGTACATCTATGATCTCGAGCTTCCAATTGACGTGGTACCTAAGCCATTCGATGATGAAGTAGAATGTTTTTATCTTTGGGATATAAGCAAGGTATCCTCAGGATTTATTATGGTTACATCAATAATGGTTGGATATGAATGTTGATTATTAAAAAAAAAAAATACGATTTCGACAGGTCATTGATCACATAAAAGCAGGAGAATTCAAACCTAATTGTGCACTAGGTAAGCGTTTTAAGAATGCATCTCAAAATTGTTAATTAAATAGTAATAATCAATCTTTCTTGAAAAATTCCATTCGATCCTTATGTAGTTTTAATAGATTTTTTGATACGACATTCCATAATCACACCAGATAAAGAACCCGCATATTTAGATATTTTGTATAGGCTTCATAGAAGACATGAATTTCCGGGACCTTCGTTTCAAAGCTGATTTGAGTAATAACTCATGTTTTGGCTTTTAAACAATACCTGATTATTAAACACCCTAGACATTATTTCTTTTCAAAATGTCCAAAAATTAAGTCATAACCATCAAACTCGTACAGAATCTTATCTTTTCGAATATAACCCAGAACGTTGCTCAGTGAAGAGACTAGATATCTTGTGTCTATGTTTCCCCCTTGAGTCTTAAAGATCGTTACAGTGAAATTTCCGGGATCAAATATGGAGATCACTTGTTGAATGAGACTTGAGATTTTTCCATAGACGACTGGGATGTTTGTTTCAAATGAAGCGTAAGAACAGTTTGGCTCTGGTGTCACATGGATGGTGAAATAATTTTCCTCTAATAACCCATTCGCCGAATATCCACAAGGTTTAAACAGATAAGAATCTAGTTGCGCGGAAGGATAAAGGTTAATTAAACCAGTTTCCTGATTAATTCGGACACAACCGGTTCCTACATCGCAATCTGTAGGGTTATAATAAAACTTTCTAATGGTTTCCGGACCAAGATTGCTCATCAAAATTTCTATGGTCTGATCATCCAGATCGCTATGATTACATTCTCCTTTTGAATAACCAGTTGGATCTGAAAGATTATCGATTATCGGAAAATCTGGAATTTGCGGAGATATACTAGAACCAATGGTTAGGTCCCCCTGTGGTGAAGTTAAGTACAAGCACCAATGGTCGCCGTTAATTTTTCCGACAATATAAGCAGCACCGTTATCTGCGAACGTTTCGTTCGTAGAATCAGATGAGTCTTATTTCATTTTAAAAAGATACTTTGTGATGCGTAAACCACCTAGTCCCACAGATTTTCTGTTTTACAACAGTCAATCGGTAGTGGGCTTGAAGAAGACTTTGTAAACTTTGTGGAAAACTCGAGATTGACCATACGCGATCTGTGGGAATAGGGAGTTTGCGCCTTAATATCATTTAATGTTTTCGTACCAAAATATTGGTCCAGGTAGGCAATTTCATCTTTCCAATCTTTATGAGGATGTGGTTGCCTTTCTGGAAACATAAAACTTTTTCGAGAATAGAATACCCTCCACACTTTACTCAATTTACAACGCTCTGTGGCAATTTCCAACAAACGAGGTATAGCAGTGAGAAGTGTCGTTGTACCGCACGTTTTTAGAATCAATTTATGGGGGTAAATAAACATTGACGATTCGCTAAGATACCAAATGAAATTGTGGGAAATGGTTTCGGTCATGTTAATTATGTGCACGCCCTTTAAACTTTTACAACTAACTTACCTTAGTAAAAATGCATCCATATAATCATTTTCAATAATGTTTAGTATTTTACACTTGACAATGCTCAGAACATCCATCCAAACATCTTTTTCAATCGAACGTAAACCAACCTTCGTTGAAGAGCCATCAGAATCGAAACCATTCTTGGATTCTGATACTGCTTCTGACGAGCATTCAAACCAAATTTCGAGTAATTTTTCAGGACCTTCAAAACCACCATTAACAATATCTTGAGTAGCCGACATTGTTGGCCGAAAAAAAAAGTTTTTTCAGAAGAATCGGGTGCAAACATGTGGTTAATAAACATCTCTGGAAACAAACCGTGTAACACAAATTCTACTCTGGTCATAGACATTCGAGGTTAAAATTTAAACTTCGATTGATGCTATATAAAGTTCAGATCTTGTAGAGGAGTTGTGCCAGTTATACAGTATATAACTTTTTTTTAAAATATTATTAACTTGATCTTTTTTTTAAGTTAAACTTTTTAAAGCAAAAATGAATAACAATTTATTTAAATATTTATTATCTTTTCTTTTGTATTATATTTTGTTTTTTCTTATCAAAAAATTAATTTATTTTTATTAATAATTTTTTCTATACTTTTTTTTTCTTTTATAATTTATATTATATTATTAACTTTTATTAATATTTTTATTAATAACTTATTTTATATTATTGTTATTATCATTATTTTAAAAGAGCAAATAATTATTAAAAAAAAAAAACTCTTTCCTATATATAACATTTTTCTTAAAATTTCCTTTTATAGTAATCTTTCAAAATTAGAGAAAAAAATATTCCTTTCACTTTCCAATACTCATAAGTTCTCTATACTTTTTTAACTTTACTATTAAAAATCTCAAGGAACCAAAAAAGCATACTGGTATATTAAAATGAAATCTTTAATCAGAAGTAAGCAAGCTTGTGAAATTTGTTTTTCTCTTAAATTATATGAGAAAAGGCTTGTGGCAGTTGCTTTTTTACAAGTTTTTCTTAAGATTTTTTCCATTTTTATTTTTTATTAAAACATTTCTTATTACCGTATACCACTGTATACAATACCCGGGGGGGTATTTTACTAGGAGAAAAGTAGTATTAGTGGCAGGATATATCATTACTATAAAATTCAAAATACGTACTAGTCTTACTTATTATTATATTAATATACCCAAGTAGTAATCAATTATCAAGCAACAATTTTCTTAAATACTATATGGTATTATTAGTAGAGGTAGTATTTGGGAGGTATTGTATGTAATGATATATAGTAATATATAAATATTTTTAAATATTTATATTCTTAATCTAAAGAACTCTATTTTATTTCAAAATACAAATTTTTACTTTAACTTTATTTATACTATTGGCTTGGAAAACCATTAGTATATATAAAAAACAATCTTTATTAATACTCAAAATATTTTATTATACTATAAAAAAATCAAAAATTCTTGTTTAAAATTTATTTTTCAAAAAACCATAATTAATTTGTTCCTAACAACTAATTAATATCTTATTTTCAATCAATCACATATTACCAAATATTCAAACACATTTATTATCCGAAGCAAAGCAAAAAACATTCTATGTTTATGATTCTTGATGAAAATAGAGATTATATATAAATTCTGTCCATCACTCTTGTGTAACATATGGTTTTTTTTATTATTAGCTTCGGACTAACAATAGTTTCCATTTCTTAGTTATACTTGCTAAAGATTAATATAATCAATATCAAAAATAAAAATCCATTTAATTATATAATCTTTTTCTATCAATAAATATCAAAACAACAAATATATTCTATTAATTATCAGTTAAAAAATAATAACATAGTTCTAATTTTACAAATTAATAATTATCACACTTAAACTCATATTCAAAAATCTTATTAGTACTTTTATTTATTATGAATAGCAGTTTGGAAATAGCTTGTCTAGTTAGAATTCATTACATTAATACTTTTATTACTACTAATCAACTTATCTTATATTTAAACAATTATTCAATCAATTAATCACTATCATTACATATTATTAATCATCAAGAATATATATTATTATTACAAATATACACTCCCTGGCCAAAAGTTTAGAACCATCTAATAAAATTTAAATGATTGTAAATAATTTATTATTATTATTATAATATAAATACAATTTTTTATTAAATTTAAAATATAAGTAATTATATATTGAATTAATATTAAAAAAAAAATTTTTTAAATTATTTTAATATTTTTTAAAAAATTTTCTTAATATTTAAACTATTATCAAATAAATAAATTAATTAATTAATTAATTTAATTTCAAGCTAAAAATTTTTTTATTTTATTATATTTAATTAACTATATTTATATCTAAAT